GGCTTTTCTCCCCACCGCAAGCCTTCAGGACAGGTACGGGAACAGAGGGGAAGGCGCGCAGCACTTTCCCTCTGTTCCCGGGGCTTGCGTGGGAGGAGGGTTTTTCCTCCCCACTGCCAACATTCAGAACAGCATTCTGAATGTTGGCGGTGGGAAGGAAAACCCTCCTCCCACCCCAAGTTTTCAGGAAAGCCATCCGAAGCCGGGCGACGGGAGAAGGTGTCCCCGCCCGCCGCCCGGCTTGGGAGCATCGTTCCGAAGCCGGGCGGCGGGAGAAGGCGTTCCCGCCCCGCCGCCCGGCTTCGGAGATTCGTTCCGAAGCCGGGCGGCGGGAGGAGGAGTTCCCGCCCCGCCGCCCAGCTTTGGAGCATCGTTCCAAAGCCAGGTGGCGGGAGGAGGCGTTCCCGCCCCGCCCCCTGGCTTCGGAGCTTCGTTCCAAAGCCGGGTGGCGGGAGAAGGCGTTCCCGCCCCACCGCCCGGCTTCGGAGCTTCGTTCCAAAGCCGGGCGGCGGGAGGAGGAGTTCCCGCCCCGCCGCCCGGCTTCAGAGCATCGTTCCAAAGCCAGGCGGCGGGAGGAGGCGTTCCCGCCCCGCCCCCCGGCTTCGGAGCTTCGTTCCAAAGCCGGGTGGTGGGAGAAGGCGTTCCCGCCCCACCGCCCGGCTTCGGAGCTTCGTTCCAAAGCCGGGCAGTGGGAGGAGGAGTTCCCGCCCCGCCGCCCGGCTTCGGAGCATCGTTCCAAAGCCATGCGGCGGGAGGAGGCGTTCCCGCCCCACCGCCCGGCTTCGGAGCTTCGTTCCAAAGCCGGGCGGCGGGAGGAGGTCCGAGGACAGTGGGGAAGACGCGCTGCGCTTCCCCGCTGTCCCGGAGATTTCCCTATGGGCTTTCGTCTTGCGAAGCAAGCCCATAGGGAAATTCGTTTTGCGAAGCGCCTCCAAAACGGAAAACCCTTTTGTCTAGCGGGTTTTCCGTCTTGCGAGGCGTTCGTCTTGCGGGGTACCACTGTAGTCAAGTTTCATTGCTGGGAGTTGGGGCCAGTCCCATTTATATATAGTGGGTGGAGCCGACAGTAGCCAGGCAGTTGGCTCAGGAGATTCACCCACCCTACCCTCCCTTTTGCTTCCTGTTTAGCAGGCGTGGCTATGGTCATTGACTGGTTGCTGTTGAAGCACCAGGAAGAAATTTTCCTGCATTTGCAGGTTTTGTCAAATAAAAACATCTTGAAGGTCCCAGGCCACAGAGAAGTTAGGCTGGCCTCAACTAGAGCCAGGGCTTTTTCGGCTGTGGCTCCGATCTGGTGGAACACTCTGTCACAAGAGACCAGGGCCCTGCGGGACTTGACATCTTTCCGCAGGGCCTGCAAGACAGAGCTGTTCCACCAGGCCTTTGGCCAGGACACAGCCTGACTCCCTCCCTCAGCAATCTTCGCGGAGCTCTGGCCCAATAGTTGCCAGTGGCTTGAATTAATTAATTTTATAATGAATGATTTTAGAATGTTGTTTATGCTGTACTTTTATACTGTTTTATTGTTGTTAGCCGCCCTGAGCCCGGCTTCGGAGGGCGGGATATAAATAAAATTTATTATTATTATTATTATTATTATTATTATTATTATTATTATTATTGTCTTCCCCGTAGCAATTCATCACAAATTGACCGGGACCGGGATGAAATGTTCCTGCATTGGCAGGTTTTGTCTTCCCCATAGCAATTCATCACAAATTTGGCAGTTTATGGTCTTGGGTGGAATCCTTTAGTCTTTTCTTCCCTATAATGGAGGGGTCCCCTCTTAAAAGGGGTTATATAATGGGTGTCACTGGCCATACACTGAAAACTACCCTGTCAGCGAACTACCCTGCGTGTGGGGAGATGGGCTTGGCTGCCTGCGTACACCTACGTCTCGCAGTGCACCACCATATCCCATTTACCCTGACGAGCCCCAGTTCCCCCGGCTGGGGGGCTGGGAGGGATACACGCCCAAGGCCTAAGCCAAGGTCTTCCTACATTTGGAAGTTTAATAAAGTTGTGGCCTAATTTTAATTCCATAACACGTTGTCAGAGTCTTGATTCCTTTCTTGTGATCCCTGGGGGCTGGGGCTGTCGCAGCCTGGTCACACAAATATCAGAGGTGAGGCCAGAAGTACAATCTGGTCCTGCTTGTCACCATGAATCCCCTAAATGTGATCAACACATGAATAGAGCTTAGATGTTTGAAGGATCTAATCTTCAACCACACCCCCCCATGCCTATACCACCAGCATAGCACTTTCAGCATTGCATTGCAGTAGGTATGATTTTCTTTAATTGCCCTAGAGCTTAATAATATCTTGATAAACACGAGTTATTAATATTTTTAATAATGCAAAACAATTGAAGCAATCTCTTCAACGATTGCTCAGAAATAAGGAGCTAATATGAAAAGAAGTTCAGAATAAGTTTCCTGTCTTTAAACTATTTTTTGAAGAACAAATTAAATTGCAAAACAAGGCCGTGAAGAAAAAAATACTCTTGAGAATCAGCAACACTCGTTCAAATTATATATACTGGAGCCAGTTAACTGCAATTCTTGGCGGGAAGTAGATATTCAAAATCAAGTAAAAAGGTCAGTATGTTCAGTGCAACATGAAATGGATTTGCTGGTAGCTATGTATTTCAGATCCTCGAAATTCTATTATGCATGTCTTACTTCCTCATCTCAAACCTGAAAAATAATTGAAGTTTATCTAAGAACAATTAAAACCCTTCAAGTGCAAATATTTGTGATTGCTTTGTAATTCAGCACATCTCAGGTCAGTTTGCAGTTTGTGTCAAACCTTAGCCTAGTGAGACTATGCAAATCAGTGGGCTCCCAGAGAGGAGCTCATAGACCCTTTGATGCTCCTTAATCCTTTTTGCTATTGCATCACATTGAGCTAAACTAAGGTTTGGCTAAGCATGCTGCCTGAACCAAGACTGCCATGGCTGCACACATGTGAGTCCAGGTGCACACTCACAACAAGACTTGTGGTTTAACTCTCCTCACTAATCATGAACCGTAACCAAGAACAAACTTTGGGCAACAGATCACTGTTAGCGAAGAAAGAACTTAACGATAGGTTTGGACACCACAACAAGCAAGGAGGGCCAGGGAGAAGCAAAAAGTGGTTGCAAGCTCTTTTCCAGGAGCCCAAACAGTCTAAGGTTTAGCTTAGCATATTCTGCAAACTGGGTCAGTGTGGTGAAGCCATTTCCAATGTGTCACTTCAGTTTCAAAGTGGACTAAGAATTCAGTATTCTACGCAACATGAACACCAAAAACAAGACTGCAAAGTCCCCTGGCCTTCAGCTGCTCTAAAATTATGTAACTGGCAGCTAAGCTGTTATGTCGTAATACCAATTCTGCACAGAGATGCTAAAAAACTGAGGCTGATTTGTGTGTTTATAATAAAAACGGGTTGACTGTCCCATAGTGACTTTAAAGCAACTTTCTAAAAAAAATTGGACCATCATCTGTAGATAAACATATGTACTAATAGCTTAAAGGAAACATGACTGGAGTCCAATAATGAGCAGGGGGAACCCAGATTCTGTCCCAAATTCCACTATGTTAACCACCCAGTGAATGCTGAGCAGATTCCCAAAGCCACTGATTCTGTAGCAGAGTGACCTAATTTACAACTGCAAAACATTTCATGTAGTATCATGCATTTTATAAAACAATCCAATTTTCAAGGAATCCCCCCAAAAAGATTTAATATTCTGTTGCAATGGAAGTATTTTAAAAGTAATTTGAGTTATTAACCAGACCAAATGATAAATACATCAAAACAAAATATAAGCTCTGATGCAAGCATGTGTGTTCCCCTGAAACATCTAAGCTGCAGTGCTAAGCAGCAGGATTTACACATCAGAAAATATAATTAGGATTATTATTATTATTGCCCCATGGCTGCTATCTTTACTGCCAAAGACATCAGAAAGATTTGTGCCTTCACACAAACTTAAGCAAATTATTTCTTGTGCAATAATATCAGCTGCATTTCAACCTAACTACCTTCTTGAATTAGTTGGTGAATTGAGAGCCACACTCAATTGGTTAAAACATCCACAACTGTCACAGAGCGAGCCGGCCAGTAAATCACACAGTTGGAAGTTGGAGTTAACTCTTAGCAAAAACACTATCTTCACGGACTTGGCTGAGTGTCAGACCTCATGGGCACAGCAGCTCATTCCCTGTAGGAATTACCGTATTTTTTTGCTCCATAAGACGCACCAGACCATAAGACACACCTAGTTTTTAGAGGAGGAAAGGGGGAAAGCCCTGTTGGGGGGGGGATCAGCTCACAGTTGTGCAGCTTCTTTTGCAAAGGGGGGAAACCCCATTTTTTTGAGGATCATCTCAAAGTTGTTGAGCTTACTTTGCACAGGGAAAAAATCCTGTTTCAACTCACAGTTCTGCAGCTTCTTTAGGAAAGGAAAGGGAGCCATTTCTACAGTTTCCAGACAGATAATCTAATCAGCCAGTCAAATGTCGCTGGGAAAACAAACAGCCTCCATCTGCAGAACATTCAACAATGGAGGCCTGGGCAAGGGGTGGGGCCAGAAAGGGAGCCAGTGATTGACCTCATTCGCTCCATAAGATGCACAGACATTTCCCCTTACCAAAAAAAAGTGTGTCTTATAGAGCGAAAAATACAGTACTCCATGAAATCAGTTGCCAAGACTAAAGGTCCCTGCCTCCTCCAAGCCATCCTTGTCTCCTCCTCTCCCTATCTTCTTCCTCTTCTCCCTCTGATCACCCCTTGTTGTCCCACCATCACCACCAAAGCCTCCTTTGGTGGTTCCCCACTGGTTCCTCCTACCATTCCTGTGTCCAACCAGTCCATGACAACAACCCATTCATAATATGCACTGAATAATAATTTACACAATTCTAGGTGACTTTAGCTTTGCCCCCCCTCTCCTTTTGCATCCCCCATGTGCTATCAATTGGATGAATGAAATGAAAGCATGTGACCACCTACCCACACACCTTGGCAGAGGTGCACTCCATACACGGCGGCCGCCACCCAGGCACGCAAGCTTGTCCGCACCTTCCAAGCGATATCCAGGGAAGCAAGAAAACGTTAAGGAATCTCCGACGCCAAAATGAAATCCTATTCTTCGACTGAAGGCAGGAACACCAGGATCATCACAGGGTTCCAGGTCATATTCTTCAGACAATAAATCAAAAGCCAAGGAAAAAGATGAAAGTTCCAATTTTTAAAAAAAAATTAAGCAGGATTAACTACACAATACCAACATACATTCGTACCTTGGAAGTCAAACGGAATCCATTCTGGAAGTCCGTTCTACTTCCAAAACTTCCAAAAACCAAATAGCGGCTTCTGATTGGCTGCAGGAAGCTTCTAGATGCTACAGCACCTGGGACTTGGTTAGACTGGTAAAGAAAAAGTGATTTATGTGTTGTATGTGTGATACAACATTGTGCCACCAGATGGCGATGTGGAGCCCCGCTTTTCTCTACCTGTTTTCCCTGTTTAAATTTACAGCACTTTAAACTGAAACACTTCTTTTATGTGTCTAGATCCAGCCCTGGTGTAGTGCTTCACAGGGTAGCTCCTGTTGCATCAGCACCTGGATTGCAGCCAAATTTTTGCAGGGAGGGAAACGATGAGATTTACGGTTTGGCATTAGCAAAGGAGGCCAACACTTCGCTCTAGGAACTACTGTGATTAAATAATAGCTTGCAGGAACTTTCTTAAAGACAAGTATTAGGAGAATTCAAATTATCTTGATAAATATCAGTTAAGTCAGACACCATATGGGGGGTGCACACACAATATTCATCAAGACCTTCATATATATATATATGAAAATTCCTATTTTAGTACCACTGATAAATAATGAATGTAACCAGTAATTCAATATGTGAATTAATTTGCATGTGAAGACTCATCTTACAGCATATAGGCACTGCAGCCTTTGAATGTGAAGTCCAGTGTGAAGTCAAAGTAACCCCTGCAGAATATATATATATTTTTACCCCTGCAGAGGTATTGAAGAATAAACCTAGCAGTACAGTGCCTTTCTAGTAAAAGAAAAATGTTTTTTTATGAAGTCGAACAGAACAAGGAGAGCCTATAGAGAGAGGGTAAGGAATGCAAAGGTTTAGCTTTGCATGCTTAATGCAGCACTCTCTATTTGTGAAATACATTTCTACCCCCTCTGTCAGTGCAGATTTTACTGCCACTTTAATAACCTGCTGTCTCAGCTCATATTCAATTAAATACCATCTCCTTTCAGCAAACTGCCCATTTTGCGGAATAACATTCCTTTTCCTCTAAAACCAAAGACACAGCTTCTAAACTGTGCACATTGGTATTAAAAACCAGGCTAAACAGGCAGGTTGTGCTTATAAATTTGTTGAACTTAAGCAGAGTTTGGTTTCGTTAGTGCCCAGAGGAGAGACCACTATGGAAACCTATGTCCACATTGGGCTCGTTAGAGGAAAGGTGGGATTATTAGGCAATTGATAAATGAACAGCCGCAGCCTAATTCAGGTATTCATTTCCCTCACATGATAACAATCATGCAGGGGGGTGCAGGCACAATAAACCACTGAACCAGGTAGCAAGTTCTGGGGGCTATTGCATTCATGCCCTATTTTGAGTTTCCCAGATTAATCAGGTTGGCTGATACACAGGACATAGTGAACCCTGGTTCAGATTCAGTAGGACTACCCCTAACTACAACAATCTTAGGATAAGGTCACACATTATGAGCCCTTCACCTTCACTTCAGTGTTCAACTTCTACTATTAGGTATTTGGCCAATGCAGTAACAGTGGAGGAATATATGTGAGATTGTCCCCCAAATTTCTCCTTCCCGTTTTTGCACATAATAAAATCACAGGAGAAAATTTGCCGAATGTTCTCAGGCTTGGAGGTGAGTGGGAAGATTGCCCCAAAAAGAAAGAAAAATGATCTGCTGTTCTGACTGTTAAATAAGGCTAAACTTTCCATGTGAACTGCACCTTTTCCAAGAAGTCCCTGTTGTGTTTGACCTGAAACACTCTTATCATTAATATCTGGTCTGTTTGGTATCATTAACTGACATTTAAAGACTTAATACAATTACTTCTAGAAGCTAGATAATATTTCAAATCAAAACAAATCATTTATGATTGATGTGTGCATAATGCCAGAATTGCTCCGTTCGTGCTTTCTTGGAAAGATCTTTGCACTCAGATCAACCAAGTGGAAACCAGAACCAAGAATCGTGCAGTTAAGGACTTGTAATGTAGCTCTTCCTTACTACTTGTGCATGGTTCTAGACCAAAGACATTAATAGTTGTAAACAGTAGCTGCTGCTAGCCAATTTACTGCACAATACTATGCATGTATACAAGACAACGAGTCCTATTATGTCTAATGGATCCTTACTTGCAGTTAATCGTGCACAGGACTGAAGTTTAAGGTTACAAAAAGACAAGTACCAAGTACACTTTGAATAAATATTATATAATTCCAATGTTTGGTTGGTTTTCAGCTACTACTGAGTTGCATCCCATATTGTATAAACTACTGACGACTCACAAAACAGATCTTTCCTTTCTTCCCTTCTTCTTTAAATCCTCATATATTCCCTGAAAATCCTCTACAGGGTACCATGGAGGTTATCAAACATGATAGGCTATGTTGTCTGAGGTGGGTAGGGGAATCTCCTGACAACAGGTGGGGGAATCTTCTAGTGCTATTCATTATGACTCTTTTAGTTAATAATATAAATATAAAACATTTCCAAATAATCTATCAAAGCCCATGCCTTTACCTGAAAATGTTATATTAAAGCCTTCGTAGGAAATGGAAAAATCAGAAATAAACCGAAGTTGTGCCGTGAAGTTTCCAAAGAGTCCAGCTTTGATGGTAGGAGGCAAAACGGACCCTGTTAATCTGGCCACAGGTTCTGTGAAGCTTCCATCTTCAGTGATGAGCAAATAGTCATGGGAGCTCTCCAGGTGAAAGGTGTGGAAGATCAGTTGTACTCCTTGAAAAATGGAAAAAGAACAATATTTTGCTTTTTGAGTAAAGGATGGATGACAAAATATGTCATGTTTACCTGGAATCTGACCTCTGAGCGGAACCACTGGCAACCTGAGTCAGCTAAAGGCTCAGGCTTCACTACCAGGTGTCTTGTTTTGTTTTGCTTTTGTCACCCAAGGTGAATATGCATCCAGTTCTCAACTCTCTTACATATAACACTGTTGTAAGCCTTCAAGCAGGTGTATTCATAAGTGAGTGGCCCTGAGCATATGCTTGTACGCAAGATCAGTGTAACTACAATCCTGCTGTGCTTGGCTCAATTCTGAAGGCTGTTACCCAAACTACCACCATTTCCCCAGGGTCCAGAAACCTATCCCCTGGTACAGGGGAAGCAAGGAAACTGAGTGGAAGGAGAAGCTACATTAGAACTGCTCAATGAACTCTTGTGGAAGCTCTAGGGGAAGGTTTCCCACAGTGTGGTACCACAATGCATCAATGACCACATTATAGCAAGGCTAGCCAATGTGGTGCCCTCTGGTTGTTGTTGGACTACAGCTCCCATCATCCCTGACCATTGGTCATGCACTAGGGGCACTAGGGGCCGAAGGGAGGTTTAATCAGACAACATCTAGGAGGGCACCACATTGGCTATGCCTTCATTATAGTATGAGAACCAAGTGAGTAATGAAGACACAGGCAGTAGAATGTAAACTACAGCAGGTTGTGAAAAGGTTCCGAGCACAATTCAAAGTGTTGGTGCTAACCTTGAAAGCCCTAAATGGCCTTGGCCCAGTATACCTGAAGGAGCATCTCCACCCCCATCGTTCAGCTGAGGTCCAGCTCCGAGGACCTTCTGGCAGTTCCCTCACTGCAAGAAGTGAGGTTACAGGGAACCAGGCAGAAGGCCTTCTCGGTAGTGGTGCCCACCCTGTGGAATGCCCTCCCATCAGATGTCAAGGAAATAAACAAGTATCTGATATTTGGAAGACATCTGAAAGCAGCCCTGTTTAGGCAAGTTTTTTAATGTCTAATGCTGTATTTTGTTTTTAATATTCGGTTGGGAGCCAACCAGAGTGGCTGGGGCAAACCCAGCCAGATGGGTGTGGTATAAATAATAAATTATTATTGTTATTGTTATTATTGGAAAGAGCTCAAGCTCAAGAACTTATACAAACAACTTCTCTAGATCTGGGGTCACGTTGTTCACACAATGGTTTTTCACAAGCAGGTCAGAAACAGACCCTTCTTTAGTAGAAGACTCATTCCATTAGTAGAATGGCACCTTTAGATCCAAGCATGTGTGTGTGTGTGTGTGTGTGTGTGTGTGTGTATTCGTTTGTGTACATATAATACGAAGGTTAACAAAGACAGAGCCATCCCAAACTTGGTGCAAATGTTGCACATTCAGGCTAAGTTGTAACAAATATAATTATATCCTTGTCACACATATGATGACCTTCAACACTGTCTATAAATCATACAATATTATAAACTACATTTTTGCTATTCTCTGATGCATACACTATATAGCTAAAGCTTTCCTGTTTCAGAACTCTTTGTGCTTGTTTTCTTAAAGTCCTTGCTTTTGACCCTAAACAACTACATAAGAATTCTCATTTCTAAAATCGTATAGGGAATGAAAAAGTGGGGAGGAAGAGAGAAAGTACAAAGAAGGACTGCAAAAAAGAAAGAAGTGTATCTCAAAGGTCGACAACCAGAGGAGGGGAAAAATCCATTAATTTTAATTCTCTGCTTTTAAAATCCTATTTCATCATTTCAGTGCTTGGAGTTATCTAAACACCCATACTGTTCTATTTAAATAAAATGCCACACTTGTTCAAAAATATATTAAAGCAGTAACAGAATCCAGTGAAGAAAACCAGGAATTATTTTCCAAACAGAAGTACTATAATCACAAGACAGGTGAGCATTAATGAAGAAGGTTAACATTTTAATTACCAATACTGACTGGCATTTAGTGGTATCAACAGATGGGATGACTTGAAAGTATATAAATTTTTAAAAAAACAATGCAGATATTATTTTGATAGATTTTAGAAGTGACAAATATTGACACATGAAAATGACAAATATTACTCTCATATTATGTACTTTCAAGGACATTTACAACCAACTTTCTTCGTTGATCCCAACTCAAAACAGATTGTCACTGCTCTGGGTCTCTGCTGGGGGGCAAGTCTGTCCCACCCCTCATTCAGGATGGAATGGGAACATGTGGGGAAGACATGACTACATCCCAGCACAGGGTTGTGGCCAACTGTGGAATGGGCAGCACACCTATTTTAGACAGTGTTGCTGCCTCTGCAACCAGCACAACAACTCACCCACCAACCCTGTGCAGTGATAAGGGATTAGCTAGTTGTCCTTTCCAGTGGTGAGGAGGAATTTTAGAGGCAGTTTCTAATTCCCAAGTGGGGGCATCATTTTTACATATTCCTTACTGTGTTGTTGACTCTGGCAAAGCTATATTTATTTGGTTGACTGGCTTTGCCAATTGTTTCATTTGGTCATTGCTTGACAGGCAGTGTGAACACCCAAGAATATAATCTAAGGTACCCTGATGAGCACCCTGAGGCACTTGGAAGCTGATGGTCCAATTGATCAATCGACCTCTCAAAGCTGGCGAACCCAAGTTGTGTAAGAAGGGTGCAGTCCCTGGGTCTTGGAAGCTTTACCCAACTAAATGTTGGCCAGAGGGGGTGGAGCTTCAGGTTATACCCTGAGAATTGCCAACTCCAACATAGAGTCAAGATAATAGCTCTCTCTCTCTAACTCTCTCTCTCTCTCTCTCTCTCTCTCTCTCTCTCTCACACACACACACACACACACACACACACACACACTCTTTATCTTTTTAATAAGTCTATATGGGAGTAGAGGATGGGTTCCCTTACTTTAATTTTTTTCAAAATCTATCTTCAGGAGGCATTTTAAACTGATATACCCTGCAAGCTTTATGTTCTCTTACCCTTGCCATGAGAAACTTCGATTGTCCATGTGCAGTTTAAAGAATTTGGATAAAAATCAGGAAAGCCTGGTGATAGAATGGTTCCACTTCTCCCATGAATATAGCCACCACACAGAGCTGTACAAAAGAAAGAAATAATAGTAATAAAATAATTACTGATGCTCTGCTTGACCCATTTTTTAAAAATTGAGGAGAATTATTAGGACCATTAACTTCCTGGGGCCACAAACAAATGCTAACCAACACTGTTACCAATTACACACACACACACACACAACACCATGTTGTTTATGTTTTACAAATAATAGGTCCCTGCTGAAATAGAAAAGTTGTAAACATCATCAGAGCAAATGAACTGATTAGGAGCAGGCAGTAGTAATAACACTGAAATGCATATACATCTGCATTAAGGTCTACTCAGAATTGCCAGTGAGTGCCTCATCTCCTTGGCAACCTGAGAGATAGTAAAGAATCTGACAAGACTGTGTCTCAAAAGAGATAATAAGAGAAAACTAGAATATGTGGGTTTTACATTTTAGAGAGGGTAGATTATGCAGAGCACTGATGAGGAAGGCTGTCAAACATAGCGTCTAGCCAGAAAATGCTGTTCCGGTGGATGGGGTAGGGTGCAAGATTAACTGGGAGAAAGAACCTATGTTCAAATATATACCAAAAGGTATCAAAAATAAAATTAGCATACACAGAGACAATAATATAGATCCCTATATTTTCGGATTCTCAGGCCAATCACAAGGATAGTACAAAATGTAGAAACGGGTGTCTTTAGAAATTTCTTTATTTTTCTTTGATCTAGATTTGAGAGCTAAAAAACTGCATTATAAAGCTGTTATACTGATTCTATTCACACACACCCTAAAATTAATAATTCAGGGTGGGTTGTTCAGCAGATTTATCACATTTCTCTTCTTTTGTTTTTAAAGGAAAAAGAGATACACATTTCCCCCTGCAGACATACTAATTCTTTCAAAACCAAAACCCTGTGAAGATTAGAAGGCTGCTAGGACACTAAAAGAATACTTTCCATGGAATTCATAATAGATTGTTCTGATTTGCATGACATGAGTTGTATTGTTTATATGGGTAAATTACACAGTGTTTGCAAAATTAGATTGTGGTATATGCCCCATAACTTGCTTTGGTGTGCCTATAACTTGCCTTTTCCTGCATCTTTCCATTTTTAATACATTAAATATCTGACAATCAGCATTATATGTTGGCATATCTTTTCAGCTTTTGATTGACACGACCCAACATTCTCAAGTAAAGAAGCAATTGTAGTGTGAGGAAAATACACAATAAAATTCCACTTTTAGCATGCTGGGGGTGGGGAGGAGAATGGTTGCATTATGGCTGGCACGTCATTCTCAGTTCGAACTCTGACCTTAAACTAGAAAAATGTAGGGGTACTTTAATTGGGATTGCTTTCAGAAAAGAATAGTGTACCCATACATATTCACTCTCCCCCTGCCCCGTCTCACTCCCCTCCTCCCTCTCTAGCAAAATGCCCCAATTATGGGCAAGAAAGAGGGGCTCATCCCCCAGTTCTGCAATTCACAACCAAATGTCACCACTGGGAAATGGAGAAATGGGGTTATAACTTCAGTACAGGCTCTGCCTCACATCTTTCTGACTCTGTGCTGAGGCTACTGAAACATGCTTCTGTCTGTAAATTCTTCATAACCAAAACAAAGCAGGCACTGCCACCCTCTCACTATCTCTGTCTCAGCTTGTGTGTGTGTGTGTGTGTGTATAGGGAGGGAGGAAGAGAGGAGATTGCAATCACTGCAGGTTTTAACTAGAAGCATTTGAAAGGACAGGGTGTTGAGATTAAAGAAACCGAACATTCTAAATTATACACACTTAGAAGATCTCATAATAAATATAGCCGTGATTTTCAGAACAGCTATGAAGTATGTTAAACAATAAAACATAGCAATCCCATGAGCCATAAATAAAGCAGAAGAAAAATGAAATGTGTCAATAAAACTATCTCAAGAACTATGCCACAGTGTAGTTCAGCACTCTGAACAACATCAGCCCAAGCAGAAACTTTATGATTGAAATCTATATACCTGAAGAAGCACCATGAAAACTGCAATTTTTAGATATTCTACAAAGTAGAATCACTCTTAGTCCTATCTTATTCATAATAAAATGCTTCATAATACTTCAGGTGGAAGTATTTTACAATATTCAGACAATAAAGAAAAGCCCATTTTGGTCTGTGGTATGTGATGGTTCTCCTGATTCTATAAGATAATTTTCAAGTTGGTTGGTTCTACAAGATAGCTTTCAAGTTGGTTTTATTACTGTGTTCCGTAGGAATATGTGGTTCACATTAATGACAGGTTCATCATTACATATCTTCTTCCGCAATATATAAATGTGGTTATGTATTCTAGAGTGTGAATACATTTTTTTGCTGTTGTGATTTGTAACCATATCAGTCTTTCCAGACTTTCTTGGAGACCTCTCTAGGGAAATTCAAAGGTTTTTAGGAGTTAGTCTAAGCCTGGAAAGAAGTTTTGCAGTGTAGCTATCACCTGCTCTCCACCCAAGTGATGTGTAAAAACATTATTATTGTTATTATTTATTGAATTTATATACTTCCCGTATGGAGGTAAAATATGCACAGTGCTTACATATTAGTAAAAAATACTATTAAAATGCACCATATTAGGGGAAATTGCTTTGCAACAATGTGTCTTTGTGGCACAATTGAATAAGGAAAAAATGTGTGTACTAGGAGAAACAGGCACTAAAATATGCACTGGTGAATTTTTATGAGAATTTTTTTACAAAGTAAAAACAGATGTGGAAATGTGAAGAACTCAATTTAAGATGGGAAAAATGAGAAACTGAAAGAAACCGAAGCGAAAGCCTATCCTTATCTCCAAGTCTTGGAAAGGACTTTCTTTAATAATACTCTAGCACCCCCGTAGGTTTAGAGTGCTAGAATGGAGGAAGTTGCACCAGCAAAGCATTTCTCCCTTAGAGTTTTTGTGTCTTATGCTGAGCTAGGCACACTTACCACAAAGGTATATTTCCTGCTTTTGAATGTGCCCCATAAAACCATACATTCATGGGAGCAGAGGAGTAGATATGATAAAGCGAAGAGGAGTTTCAGGAAAGAAAGTAGTGAATAATGCAATTTCTTTCTGTGCCCCCCCCCTTTCCCTACATGAAAAGGTATCTCATTGCATCTTTTTAAATATAATTTATTTTGCAGCGGTCCAACTGCAACTATTGCATAGTACATACCATCGCAGCTAGGTAGTGCATGGTTCCACTGATGATTTCGTTCACACACAAGTGGTTCATCATCACTCAGAGTGTAACCTGGATCACAGCTAAAAGTGACTGTCGATCGGATGCTGAAGTTATTACCATGCCGATGGCCATTCACAGGAATACCTGGGTCAAGGCAGGAATCCGATTCCAGTGTAACACCTGGTCATAGAAAGGGAAGGTGGAGAAATATTAGAAGTTCACTGCAGAAGAGCAAATTATGTTGAGCTGGCAACTAAAAACAGAGAGAAAGCACTGAGTTTACAGAAGTTGGAAGCAACCCTTTAAAAAAGAGAGAGAAATGTGAGCAAGATAACTTTGTTACAAGTTATTTAAATAATCTTTGCTTCAAAAAGAAGGATACGAAAATGTACGGTAATATGAGCAAGTAAGGAGAGGAATTTGACAAGGGTATTAAGTAACGGCATTGGATAGATGTCATGGTCATTTACTTTCCATTGCCCCCTGCGTTGTCTTTCTATATATTTGTACTTTATATTCTACACGTGGAATGATAATAAGGATGGTTCTTCCATGGTGTACTCTGCATGCTGTAACCTCCCTTTCTTCCCAGTTGAGACCTCAGAGTACCATCAGGAGCTAAGCAGACTTTGACCTCTGGAGAAAGAGGTGTAATATTTCTGGAATCACTAATGAACCAGAATTGGGACAGGCAAATGTGACCTGTGTGTGGCCTGTCTCTTAGAAGCAGCTTTCCTCCAAATGCACAAAACTCCAGGAAAATCTCCAGTCAGGACCAACCTACATGACCTATTGTAGAGGATGACAGATGTTGTAGTCTAAAACACATGCAGGGAACTATGTTGGCTATACCTGATTTAAATATTCTCCCAGCCATTTGGGTATTAAACTTTTCTAAAAAGCACTGGAATGCCTCTGAACATTGTATGGTGCCAACTTTGTGCATCTGAAGTTATGGTTTAGTACTTGGATTAGAGTACCACTGCTGTCACTGAAATAGTTCTCTTTCCTGGTTATGGAGTTATTTTTCCCTCCAGGTAAAATAACTTTTAGCCCCTTCAAATAGCTGTAACTTAGTTTCCATTCCTCAAAAAGTGCTGATGCCTCTCTAAGTGCCAATCTCTGTAAAGCCACATGGTAGTTTATTTAAAGCTTAGTATTACTGAAAAGCATAGATAGCAATCTTTGAAATGATACCCTGCCTAAGCTTTCGTTCTGAAGAGTTGTGTCAATAGTGGCACAATGTTTTCAGCTTTTCATGGTGCAGTGGGTGGCTATTTTGAACCTCAGATGTTTAGCAGTGATAATTGAGTCTAATTGCAACTGGATCAAGCTTTTGAGTGCTGGATAGGAAGATATTATTCAAATATGCCTGTCAGCAGTACAAAAGAGGAAGCAGCACAGCCTCTCCAGAAGAAACCTGTTGTGGACCTGAAATATCTGAATAATTATTGGACACTCACTAGCAAACCTTTCTGTGTCAAATGGCTCCAGTGGGAGGTTGCTATAAAACGTCAGATACCGTTCAGGTGTGGATTTGGCACTGAAACTGCTTAAGTTGTCCCAGTGAACAACATATTTCAGGATAGAGAGATGGTGTGTAAGCCCCTTGATTTTCTTGGATCTCTTGGAGGCTTTTTATACCATCCATTATAGTATCCTACTAAACTGGTTTGCAATTTAGGTAATTCATTTCCTACTTGGACAGTCAATTTCAGAAGATGGTGCTGGAAGTCTTTTATTTGACTCTAGCAGCTATGTGATAGAGTCCCACATCTTTTTGTTGTTGTTCCCCTCTTGTATTTAAACATCTGCATGAGACTGGTGAATGAGGTCATACGGAGGTCTGAGGTGAGGTGTCACGATTATGCTGACAGCACCTGCTTTTATCTTTTTTTCATAAAAGTAATGCAGGAATTGCACTAAACCACACAACTACTGCATTACTTGAATTTACAGTAATGGGCTCAAAGAGAGCCAATAAACTGGAGCCCAGTCCATACAAAACAGAGATCCCATTGGTGGATGAAGGATGGTTTATGTACCAGGCTTCATGGGTTTCAAATCTTGTATTCAAATGTGCCTCCACTGTGATGTTCAATGGAGGAGGCCCATGTCATCTGAGGTTGAGTGACTACGGGGGGAAATGCTTTTCAGATGAGTGGATGTTTTCCTTCCTCTTCTACTGTTGGATTCCTATTTTGCTGCTCTTACAATTTTGTTCAGTTTTGCAGTTTAATTTACTGTTTTTAATGAACTGAAGTTTGCTTTAACTTGTGGTTTTAATGTAACCTGCCCTGGGACCATTTGGTGGAGAGTGGGCTATAATAAATACATAACCGTCCACACATTGCTATCATGTTGCCCTGGTGTCTGTTTTCAATTCTGCTGACTGCTTTTATGCTGCTCTATTTGTATTGCAATGTTTTAATATTGCTTTAATGCTTTGGTTTACGGTGATTTTAGCTTTTTTTCTAAGCAACCATGGGAACTGTTGGAAGGATATGATATAAACTACTTAAATAAATACAAAATACACATAAATACTAAAGCCAGTTCACTTTGCACAATATAGAAATACATTTTCATACATAATTTCTCAAAGTATCCTCCTCCCACCTCTTTCTAAACATACTGCAACCTTATAAATTTCACTGCAAATGTAACAAGTTAGCGACGATTAAAAATAATTAGCAATGATTCATTTGCAGTGGTGAAGTAAAAGAATGTGCATCTTAAAAACTGCATAACTGCAGCCTAGCTCAAGACATATGCAATAAAGAATGAGAGTTTAATGTTGAGAACGATGACATGGCACCAATGCAAGGGCACTATGTCTTCCTTTCAGCACAGTCTCCACTTCCATTGCCGGTATTCTGTACGTCTGAGACACAACCCATTCCATGTTACATAAAATCCACTCCATGTTTCTCCCTTCGCCTCCCTTCTAGTCTGTCTCCAGCAGGAAAAAGGTAAAGGTTCTTAATGGCTGAAATTGGGAAGTCAGCCAACCTATTTCTGATTTATCTATTTTTAATTAGAATTTCATTTTTAAATAGAAAATAGTTTTTTCCCCCTTGTCTAAGATAACCTGCCATGAGCCAAGGGAAACCACCCTCATTTGCAACCAATAAATTTAAGGGGTCCTTCCTTGAAGCACGTTTCTGTGGGCAAGGTGGTTGTGAAGACCACCTGCATCAATGCACTCCAGATCACTGAAGGATCCCTGCACTCCATAGAGCCCTGTAGGAGCACTGTTTGATACTTCTCTAGAGAGGCAAATATTGTAGTATTTGCTGTGGCAGCAAAAGCGGAAACCTTCTACAGCTGGCTGGCAGGCCACTGGAGGGTGGCACATATGGTGCTAATAATGGCAGTGGCAGGCAGGCTTATGAGTGCTGCACGGAGACCATGATGCGCCACTCTTCTCAAGCCACCGGCTACCCCACGCAGCTCATTGTGGCTCATGGCAGAGCTGAGTGTGATTCTCTTCCAGAACTGTAGAGAATCAACATTCTGTAAACTCCACTTTTCAATCCTAAATTTTCATTTTGTTATCATGCTTGTTATAAATGGGAAAAGATGAATGCTCTAGACACCTAAGCGCTAACAATGAAACTACTATCTACTTGTTAATAATGCATAAGGATACAATTGCTGCAATACATCCATATTGGAATGAATATTGGAAATTACTGTGCATGACTCTAGCACTACTTATGACAACAGAAATATGAAATACTCTACTAGACTAGTTCTATATTATTATGATCACAATCAATATATTTCCCCCTAAAGAATTATAGAGTATGAGAAACCTCTTATATGCTTTGGGAATAAATTCACACTTGAAACCTTCACCACTGTGGGATTTTATTTTACTTGCATTTTCATCTTTCAAAAATTATAAGCAGGTTCTGACATCATAACCATAGAACGACTTCATAAAAGTCTGCTTCCTGGTTCATGGAAACTACCATGATGTTCAACTCTGGTAATCTTACTTTGTTTCCAAATCAGAATCAAAGTCCCACTTTAAACTGTGGCTTCTGATTTTACTTTGGAGGCAAGTTATAGGTAGGCGTAACAATAATTTGTCCCAATTCAGACAATCAGACAGTTACTGTGAACCAGGGAGCAAAGCAAGCAATCTGTGCCCTCTTAAACCATTTAATGACTGCAAAACTTATTGCAGGCATCTAGTTAGTTATTATACCAAATCAGAGAACAGAGGCATGCATCATAATGCAAGCAGAACTCTTGGAAATGAGACTTATTCCACTCTGCACACAAATAAAGAATGCCATGTTCCAATGTGGGTGCTCCCATGCTCCCAGTGAAGTTCTGGATTGGGGTAAATGTTTTGATTTATTTTTTAATACACACCTGCAGCAATGTATAATAATATTTTTTTAAAAAATAGTTTTTTATTTAAAAAAGTGCAATTCCAGACATGTCTACTCAAAGTACGCCCCACTGAGTTCAATAGAGCTTACTCTCAGACAACAGTATAGGATTGCACACTAAAGGTATAACAAGTGGTGCACACCTAACTGATTCCATAAGTACAAGGATTTCCTCTTGTGCCATGGAACCTCTCCTCTCCTCTTCTTGTGCATATCCCATGTTCTCCCCAGATCTACTCCAGAGGGTTGGGGCAACCCCCAGAACAAATTTAGGGGACATGTGGGGGGAGGGGAGAGGGGAGAAGTTACACAACACAAGCAGAAACCCTAACACAGATTAAATTAGTCTGATACCACCCATTTCACTCTTAACCATTCCTATGTTACAGCCATTTACATTTTTTGCTGATTTATCAGGCACCCTGCCAATACACTTCTCATTCCCCACAATACCCATATTCGGTTATTACACTCATTTTAACTGAGAAAAATATCAGACTTACTTTCATAGTGAATCAAGAAACCAACACTTGAACGGCTGTTATCTGTAGTGAACAGGAGATACATGAAATTCCCAGTGCTAATAAGGAACTGTGGTGCTTGTGTGCCATGGTATTCCCCAATTAATGGAGAAGAACTCGTCGGCCCATCTCTGACTTCCAGTGTATCGTAATTTACTTCTGTCTGGAACCTGTAAAAACAGAATGACAAATTGTAACCCATATGACTTCATAGCCGACATTTCTAAAACAACAACAATCTCATTAGATTGCTTGGGCTTGTTGGTGGAATCCCATGGAACATTTATGCTGCATAGGTTTCTGCTCTCTGAAGGTTATTGCTTGCTTCTGGGTAAAAGGAACATAATCCACAATAGGGAGCAAAATAAATTGAAGTAGGATGAGGCGGGGGGCGCTTGCAGGAAAGAAGCAGTGGAGGATCCCTCAGAAGAGGCTGGAGTGCTCCTGCCTGTCATAGTAGTCAAATACTAGGGTAGATAGGGCAATGGTCTGGTTATATTTGTGGATACTCCATCTGCACAATATTTTACATGCAGGAGAGGAACCTTAGCTCAGTGGTAGTGTCAGAAGGGAGTGTGGATGCTTGCGAAGATAACAGCCCGGACTCCAGCCTGTCTTTTCAGGATTCATTGAGTGCAAACTTATGTACAGTGCAGAAGTTTCAAAACCACGTCTGCCTCAATCGCTAGCAGAATCCGGAAGTGCCTTCTTCCTATTTCCCCTCCAGCAAAGAAAACCCGGAAGCCCCCTCTCCGTCTTTTTTCATTACGTGGAAAACTAAGCGACGGACACTGCTCATGCCCTCCCCTGGTAGCAGTTTTTTGGCTCCACGCTCTCTTGTCTTCCTTGTCTCCTGAAAACAGCCCCTCCCCAGACTCTGGCGAAGTGCAGCTGCACAACAGAGGAGGCTCTCTGTACGTTCCTGTCTCTCCCCACCTCCCCTGCAAACAGATCCCTGACAGATAGGTCTCATGATCTGCATGCACTAGGCCTCCAGCAGCTCCAACCAAGAGATTCCAGGTTGCAGGAGGCCTTAGAGATCTACTATCCAGAGCTGACAACACTACTCAGTGTCATATTAGAGCAGTCCAGGGAGGACAGAGGCCCTCATGGAAGAGCTGTGGTGGTTCAGTGGTAAGAGCATATGCTCTGCATGCAAAAGATACCAGGTTCAATCCCCATCATCTCCAGGTAAATCTAGAAGAGATCCCATTCTGAAATCCTGGAGAGCAGCTATCAGTCAGTGTAGAAAATACTGAACAAGATGGACTAATGCTCTGACTCTGTATAGGGGAGCTTCTTATGTGTTGCAGCAACTCTCACACCAATGAAGTATTATCAGAAGCTGCACTGAAGTCCTTTCTTACCTAACTTTTCACTCACTTCATTGGTTCTTGAATTAGCCAGTGGTGTTGAGCCATTAACTCTTACATACAGAAAATCATTATCACCATGACACACAAAGCAAGGAATAAGAGCGAGGTCAGTGGAAATGGTGGCACTAGAAGAACCATGGTCCTCTACTCCGTTCCAGTCTAGTTCCCTGTCTCCTGGGAAATAGCGTTTTCCAGCTTAATAACTTTAGATTCACAAAGCCTGACTGAGCATGAAATCATCCTCCAAGGGTCATTTCTGCATCAAATCCACTCAGTTCCCCAGTGGTATATACGGCTTGGCTTCAGTTTTGACTGATGTGCAACACAATCTAATTGCGCCTAAATATTTGTAGATACATTTGACAGCCACTTGAACTAGAAAAATATGAACCTTTTACCGCAGTTTTTGTGTCAAGCCTTTTTCCCTCCTCCTGTTTGCGAAGACATCACCAAAGGCATTCATGTAGAAACAAAACACTCTCATTGTGTAGCACTGCTAACCTTCTAAACCAGATATGACACATAGTAGAGCTCTATAATGGTAATAAGTTTGGTCTCAAAGGAAGAAGGAAAGCTGCAGGAGACCTGCATTCATATCTAATGTGGAACAGAACGGGGGAAGGGCCATAACTCAGTGGCAGAGGATCTGATTTGTATGCAGAAGGTCATAGGTTCATTCCCCACATTTCCAACTGGGGCTAGGAATGTACTCAGAACAGACACTCTCAGTCAGTAAAGACAATACTGAGATAGATGGACCAATGGTTTCACTCAGTTTGAGGCAGTTTCCTATGTTTACTTCGGATAGCAAACACTTTGCAGAAGTCCTGACAAAAATAAGCATGCTTACTTGGATCAAGGGAGCATGATAATGGTGTCGTTTTTTACTACAGATGACTGAAAACAGGAGTTTATGCAAGAAATATTTGTGAAAACAATGTATACAACACCCTTGTACATTATATAACAATTAGCGCACACACATATATATGAACCTAAACCCACAAATCCCATAAATTGATAAATTGGGGAGGGAAGGAAATACATAATCTTTCAAGGCTTTTTCCAGAAATAATGTACATTGTATTAGGTCCATATATTAATATACAATTGAAGCACACAAACACATGAAACCTAGTAAGTTTCACAGAAAACGAAATACAAATATAATCAGTCTTTGAGGCAAAACTGTACTAGATAACATAATTAGAAATGTAACCAATCATATACAGGATGAGTCTTTTAAAACTCTGTATCCACGGGGCCTTTTTTAAAGGACCCACCATATATATATATATGTATATATGGCATCTGCATTATGGATGAAAAACTATGTTCATTTATTTGACCGTAAGTCGTCACACAGTATATAGAATTAGGCTGCATAGCTGAAATCCTGAACAAAGACTGATTAAGACTGCAAATCTAAACACACTTCCACTGGATACAGTGAGACTTATTACTGAATAAATATGAAAACCATTATGCTATAATCCTGTTGATTAGATGGTATTTGATGCTAAAATGATCATTCTATAAGGGCGACAATACCCCTTCCCCTGCTCCTCCCACACACTGTACCAAAGGACCTTCTGAACTCTTCACAGGTGAAGAACTAATGTACATCCAACCTCCACAATTGCATTCAGGATGCTGGAACTCATCCCATCAAAAGTTAAGCTCTGCAAACATTGTCTAACCCCTCCATTCTTCCAAAGGCACTCTTTAACAAATTCATTTACATATATTCAACTCCAGATGTGTAAACTATCTTGATTTTTCAATGAAAGAACATCATGGTGTCCAACCTCAAGCTGACACTTCTTGATTATTTAAAATAATTTGGGTTTGTAAGGTATGTTTGATTTGGCAACATCAAAACCACAGCAGTGGGTTAGATTATCACTGGCTTCAGTACAGCCAGATATTTGTAAATTGTTCACCCGCATCACATACCATTAATTCCCTTTTACCACCGTAAGTCAATTACCCAAGACATCTCTTTCACCACCTTTGTGAAGAATGAAGGCTTATTACAACTGTGTTCTTAAGAATAAGGTGCTTGTTAAAAGCATTCAAAATATATAATTACCCAGCAACATGAAATTGATCCAGGTTATTCTGTTAGTTATACAGAACTCTGTGTGGTGGATAGCTACACAGAACTAATGTTGGATTAGACCAAGGTTTATCTAAACCAACATTCATAATTAAACAGCAGCTAGTCGGATGCTACTCAGCAGGAAATTCCCTGAAGTGTGTTCCCTGCATCTGATATTTAGGAATACACAGTTTCCCTATATGATAGCTTCTTTTAGCTATTATAAAGAATTACTGTCCACATTAATGCAAGGCTGAAGTTGGTGTCACAGAAATCTCTGTTGCTTTCAGTGCCAAAATGGAAATGTAGCCCCTGAGGCTATCATTGTATCCCAATGTATTCCCAATGATAACTCTCAAGGGTTAGACAAAAATAATAAAGCTTTTCTGGGGGTGGGGGGATGGGTGCTATGTTTATAAGCAAGGTGACCAAAATAAGTTTCCCTTGTTTTTTGAAAGAAAGGGGGAAAGCTTTGCCATCACATTTCTTTTCTTTACCAAAAATGAATCCCTGCAAATGATTCTACACCATTCTGTTTGAATGGAGAAGGGATGCTACAGGGCTGTCCCATGACCCCCACCACACAAAATATATGGAATATATTATTCATGTAGTTATCAAAAACAAAATTTTTCTAAGAGGGGAAATCAAAACGCTAATGCCCATAACTAAATGCCGAATAGCTACAGAAGCATCTACATAATGACTGTAAGTACCATATAGACTGCTGCTAAGTTCAGGCATTAACTCAAACCCAGACTGTTCATCAATCCTCTTATATCTCTAGAGACAATAAGTTCACCACTCTAAGACAAAAACTCAGCCACCCTTGCAGTTACTCCCGGGTTAATGTCAGATAGAGTCTGATATTTTTGTTGTGCCATGAGGTTAGACCACCGAAAATAGGGGTAGCTGGTTGGACTGGTTGGACTGCAGGAGTCACATAGTAATTGGTCCCAGGCCTTGTCTCATCTTTCTTTTGGATGCAACATGGTGGAATGGGTAGTAAGAGACAGCTAGGCAAGGTTGTTGGACTCTAATTCCCATCAGCCCCAGCCAGCCTGGCCAATGGTCAGGCATGATGTGTGTTGTAATTCAACAGCATCTACACTGTTACCATTTCAAACAACTGCGACATTCAGTTGCGGATCTGTTTTTCAGATACTCACTTATCAAATGTGATCTTGATAGAGTGCCCTTGTTTTGCCTCGATTACCCATTCACAGTTTAACGAGTCTTTGTAGTAACCTGGCCATCCTGGTGGCAAGATAACGCCACTAGATGCTGTCAGGTGTCCACCGCAAGGTGCTGGAAGAGAAACAGAAAGATACAATCAAATTGGCAATCCCAACTGAGAAATGCTATAAATCATATTGCATCAAATTGCTCAACTGCAACTTCCAGCATGCCTTATCACAACCAAAAAGTGCAGAATATCCCTCAGTGTTGAACACACTAGGCCCTCTTAAGTGTTAATTCTGACACTCTGTACTTTCAATTAACCAGTCTATATTCCTGCTTGTGGTTGCACCGATTCACCTGCTCCATATATTGGCTAAGCTGCCTAGTGCTATAAATTTGTTTGCCCTGACAAGCCCTGTCTCTGCCCTGCCCTCTCTGTACCATAATGAAGGCAAAATGTTGTTCTATTATTGCACATCTGGTATAAATTGCAGCTGTTGGCCTAGCAGCACCAATACAATATTGGCTGGGATACCAGCAGAGAGTCTTAAAACAATTAGGTCATAAGCACACCTTATATTTAAAGCACATGGCTTCCCCCAAAGAATCCTGGGAAGTATAGTTTACTCCTCACAGAGCTTCTGTTCCCAGCAGCCTTAACAAACTACAGGTTCACAGGAATCTTTGAGACAGCCATGTGAGGTAGCCATGCGGATGTGACCTTAGTTGTCTGCATAACAGCTGAGTGTGTGCAAGTGTGGTATAATGAATGTTAGACTAATACCAGGAATATTTATGCTCAAATCCCTACTCAGGCATGAAATCTACTGGGCGACCTTGAGCCAATCAATCTTCCAGCCTAACCTAAGCCACTCCTATGAAAATTTTGGTTTTGTGGAAAGGAGGGATAAAAATCTAACATATAACAAAGAAATACTGAAACCATACAATGAAATTTATATAATCCAGCACAAAATTCATTTTATGTAAATCCTGTGGCTTCTAAACCAGTCTTCTTGAGTGATCATTTTTTAACAGGCTGGGTGGCATTACTATTTCTCTCACTGAAGTAGGCCATTGCTTCATAAATATTCCTATTTCATGTTAAATGCACTGCATGTAAGCTCGTAGGCAGATACACCAGCTGGTGTAAGTAAAAGAGCACCCAAATCCTATTACAGTTCACACTAGATGAAATCTGTTAAAGTTAGATTTATTAACACAGAGAATATTCAAAAGCAGATGTTAGGCCACTCAATCTATTTGTTAATTGCCACCCATATTCAGCATGCCAACTAGCAGAAGAGGAGAGGTTGTATAGATGGGAGGCAAAAGGCAAAATCTCCCAGTGTTGCTTTTGATTTCATGAGTTAAATCAGCCAAATAATCACAGAATCCTCTGGACATTAACCTACATCTTGGCTGTATGTCAAGGTTAGCCAATGTTGAGCCCTTCAGATGTTGTTGGACGCCAAGTCCCACCATTCCTGACAACTGGGCATGCTGACTGGGACTGGTGCATGTCCAACATCTGGAGGGCACCATTTTTGTTATCCCTGCTGTATATCAAGTCATTTATTAACATAGCGATCCTATGCATGCTTACTCAGAACTGTATTCAACAAGACAAGACAAGCATCATTATGATTGCAGCCTAACCCACTTTTATCTCTAGATACAATTTGTGATACAACTATAGAAAACTAAAGCATTGCTGCCTTTAACATTTGTGTATGCGCGCGCACACACACCTCAACAGTAATTAATATTCTCTAACTCCACGTATTGTCATTGATGCTCCTGAAATAAAGTTCCTATGGATGACAAGAAGGGCTGTGGTTCTTCTTGTGGGAGGTCAATGTTGTGCTCAGTTTTTTGCAAGTACAATGGTCCAAACATTTCTATGCCAAACAGGTAAGTCTAGATATTCCAAGGATTTCCATCAACTACTGATCACCATGCAGCAAACAACAAATAACATACCAATTGCTTACATTTGATATTATGGTTTTCTTGCTCATATACTATTCTAGAGTTAAGGTATTGTGTTTCCCTCTTGGTAAATCCTGTCATTTCTCTCTTTTTCTCTCTGAGTTTTATACTGAGTCTTGGATTTTTTATTTTATTGCTGCCTTTATTGCCTTATTATAAACAGTATACATAATATCTGAAGAAAACCAGTATGTGCATTCTAGAGCACGGTCAAATCCTTACCTTCACATCTCGGAACAGTTGAACTCCACACAACATTTCCATCCTGCATAACACAAGTTATGGTCTCTGAGCCCTGGGTTTTCACAAAGCCATCGTCGCAATGAAAAGAAACAGAACTTCCTAGAAGGAATCTGTCTCCAAAGCGCTTTCCGTTTATGGGGATTCCTGGATCATGACACTCATTCTGACCAAATGCTAAGCGCCAAAGGAAAGAAAAATGAAGCCAATTAATTAATTGGTTGTAAGTATATTTGGATGCATGATTCAAAACAAGACAACTAGTCTCCTTAACTGACCTATCTTTGGGCTTACATGATTCTTCAGTGATTGTCTGACTACCTGCAGTCAACCATGTTCAAAATGTATGAGCATTTTGATTTTTTCAGTGGTGACATATGTTTTTGAGCCAAACAGAACTACTGAGATCAGTATTAACTTTGTTTCTAAATATCCCAGCTCAGCTAGAGAGTATGCATGTGGAGAAATGCTTAATTCCATCATGCATTTTAATTTTTAATTTAATATCTTTTTCATGCGCACATTACAAAAAAATAAAAATTACAACCCCAAAATTAACATGCAGTGATTGGTAATGATAGCTTTGGACACCTTTATGTTCAGAGGGATTATACCTCTGCATACAAGCTGCTAGAGGGTGAACAGCAAAAAAGCAGTAACCTACACACAGTTCTTCTGAATTTCCTGAAAACATCTGCCTGGACACAATACTCTAGACTTGATAAAACAGATAGCTGCTGTTGACTCCAACCATCTCTGATTACTAGCAATGCTGGCTGGGGCTAAAGGAATCACAAAATTGTAGAGTTGGAAGGGCCATTTGTCCAACCTCTTGCAACACAGGACTCTTTTGCCCAACGTGGGGCTTGAACCCACAGCTCTGAGATTAAGAGTCTCACGCTCTACCATCTGAGGTATCTGACCATCAACATCTGGAAGGCCACAGTTTCCCTATTCCTGATTTAAACTAACAAATGCTTAATGATATTACTGAAAGACATTGTGCAGTCAAAGTCAAGTGCTTTTAAAGCCCTAATTATTTTGTTGGGTTTGTTAAGCATGTACTTCAGCTCTCTGAAGCCTAGCTCTTAAAAGTGCTTATTCTTAGCTGCATAATGCCCATTGTGTTTAGTATACAACTCAGAGAATGCACACTTACTCGTGTATGATATATTGAATCCTCTTCCTGTAGTGGAATGATCCGACTGAAATTCAAGACGTACTATGTGCCCATTGCTAGCTATTTGGGAAGGCACATCATTGCCAGAAAAAGTACCGAGTGCTGGTAAGTCAGAAATCCCATCATCCTTCACTGTCAGGTAATCAAACTGAGGCTCTACATCAAAGTCATTGAAAATAAGATGTATTCTGCTTCCTGGTTCTGAAATTATCAACCATACACAATTCATGTTGTTTCCATACTCCTCAGGGTAGTTTGGTGAAAGTATAATTCCTGAAGGTGTTGTGAAGTTGAAGAAACATGAGACTATTAAAAAAGAGAAATGAAACACTTTGAACGATGCATGTGTTAAAAATACAAATTCTAAAAGGCATCATGTCTAGGCTATACCTCCTGGAAAAATGAAATGTTTGCCATTGTTGTAGGGAAAAGTCCCACCTAAAAAACAAAGCCTGCAGTTGTGACTTTGCTGCCACATTTTCATTTGGGGGATCTTTTTTTAAAAAAAACACAAAACTATATATATATAGTGTGCTTGTATATATATGTGTGTGTGTGTGTGTGTGTGTGTGTGTGTGTGTATATATATATATATATAGTGTGCGCGCATATATATATATATATATATATATATATATAGTGCGTGTGTGTGTCATTTTGTTATATATATATATAAAAACACATCATAGCATATAGTTCTCACCTTTTGCAGCTGGTTATAAAACAGCTACAGTATTCCTAAATTAATTAATACTCTATGCAACTTCAATAAGTTCATTATGACTATTTTGCAATATTGTCCACTCTAAATACATGTTCTATAGGGCACGGTCAATTCCTTTAGGCATGTTTTAATTAAGAAAATATTATATTGAAAGCACTAGAATATATATGAAAGAGTTCAGGTATAGTAAAATAGAACTAAGTGATAGAATCAGAGAACTGTAGAGTTGAAAGGAATCCTGAAGGTAATCTTATCCAACCCCCCACCGCAGGAACCCTGCCCACAGCATCCCTGGGTGGGCTTGAACCACCAACCTTTTGGTTAACAGTCAGACACACTGACCCATCATGCCACCTATGGTATGCTGCATGCTGTTTCTAAAGGTAACGGAAGGTCAAGAAAGAAAATGAATTGTAACTTACAAACACAACTGGGTTTATTGCCGGACCACTGGTTATTCTGCTGGCATGTGATCATTCTCTCTCCCACAAGTTCAAAGGCCGCTTGACATTCAAAAGTAAGTGTGTCTCCGTGTAGAAAACTATTGCCAGTCCTCTTCCCGTAGGACGGAATCCCAGGATCACCACAGCCGCCTTTCTCTATTTCTATAGAAATGGAGGTAAAACAACTGGCAGAATTAAAATTAGCACTCTGCATGCACACAGAGACACTTGCTTCACTAGTGATTACTTAACCATTACATTGTTGAATGTTACTTTATTTTATATAAGTCATTCCATTTTAAAGTTCTGTTTTATTATGATGTTCTGTATCGGATCAGATTATTATAAGGTTATGTTCATTGTTGTGTATTTTGTTGCTCTAAACCGCCTTGTGCACAGTAATGTAGAGAGGCTGTACACCAATTAAAAGTAAAAGTAAAATGAAATGAAATGGGGTTTTTTAAAAAAGAAATAAAATACTGTGTCTGGTTCTAGGTACCATATTTTAAGAAAGGTGGAGGCACTGGGAATAGATTCAGAAGAGAGCAATGAAAATGGGTCAGGGATGTGGAAAACAAGTTCTGTGAGGAAAAGTTGAAGAACTGGGTATGTTATGCCCAGAGAAGAGAAGACTGGTGCCTTATACTGAGTAAGACCCTTGGTCAACTTAGCTCAGTGTTGGCTACACTGACTAGCACAACTCTCCAGGATTCAAGCAGAGGTCTATCTAGAGATGCCAGGCATTGAACCTTGGCCTAACACATTCAAATCAGAAGCTCTACAGCTGAACCACAACCCTTTCCCAGACTACAGCACTCTTCTAATGCCTGAGAGTCCAGAGGAAGGACTAGATCTGACGAGCTTGTTGGACAGGAGAAACTTCTGAAGGGTAAGAGAAGTTTGACAATGGAACAAATTAAGTTCCTCCTGAGCTTGTCTAATGTAGACTTTATATGAATACTACATCTAGCATAAAACACTTGAAATAATAGCAACAATGATAACCGTTTCTGTTGTTTTGCTAACCTACTTATACTGGCAATACAAACTTCATCCCCTCTAGGATTATTTTTTGTACTCATTCCATCTCAAACTTCTTTTGATCTAAGTGATTAGAACTGCAGGAACTTTCTGAAGTTTGAGAATGCACTATGAAGTTCTTCAGCTCGGATTTAACATCAGCTTCCTCTGGTTTGCCAATAATATTAACATAAATCCTATTCAATTGTTTCCTGCTTTCATGTACTGTGTTTGGCGGTTCAGGCAAAAAGACCTTTTTATCTTGTTTGTAAACCAGCAATATTTACCATCTTTGGGGACTTATTATCTTCTCAGTGTAAATAGAATGACAAGATTAAACTCCCCCACAAACTGGGATGAGATGATCATACACTTCTGAATTTAATCAAAGTCTTTCTGCGCCACAGCTTTCTTCCTTCAAGGGAAGAACTGTGGCAGTTTTGAAGAAATATACGCATGTTACAAATAACAAAAAATACAAGAAATTCTATACATATTGGGCATTAGATTTGAAGAATAGGGAATTCTAGGTTAAAGGTTTTCATGCTTTTCTAAGGTGTAAAAACATATGGGAGACAGAAATAGTACACCTATAACAAGCTGTTACAATACAATTAAAATATAATACATTTTGGACCAATAATCCACAGTTTCCATTTAAACCACTACAATTATGAGTATGACAAAATGGCTGAAGAAATAATCACCTATCTGATCATGTATAATTGGGAGGCAGGGAGCAGAATGGCCATGGATATGTGTTTTGATGGAGGTGTGAAAGGGCATAGAAGCTGCATAAGACTATGTCTTCAGGATCATGAATGACTGAATAAGCAAGACCTGTGATCATACAGAAAATGTGGGAATGGGACCAGCTCATCTTTGTAACGTGAAACGGCTACAGTGTCACAGGGCACCCAATTTTTCAGATCTCTAAAGTAAATGAGGGGCAGGAATGACAGGCGTTAGTCAAATCTCCCAATCTATGGCCTGCATTGGACTGCTTCTACTTTGGTTGTTTGCACAAGAGCCAGTACTTTATGCACATGCAGAACTATTCATTTATCTTGTGAATTCATTGTGCAAACCCCTAACCTCAAGCCATCACAGGATTAAGAAATGTAGCCACTGCTAAGCAGCTGTGTTTTAGATGCTACCAAGAAACTTCTTTCCATATATGAATTGCTCTAGTTGTATTAGGGGCAACCGGGGGAAAAAATGTGTAAAAAGCAACTGAACAACAATTGATGTAGAGGGTGAATCTGTGGTTATTCCAATTACACAGCATCAATACTAATTGCAGTTCAACACATAAACAGTGAAGAGAAAGTCTATTAAACTATACGATCAACACAGAAAGAACACAGAGTTTTATGGTACTTTAAAGGCTAACAAATTTATCATAGAACAAGTTTTCCTGGACTAGAATCCAATTCATCAGAAGCTTGTTGGCATGAAGGGAGAAAAAGCCTGCAAAAGGTGGAGTTAAATGGCAATGAAATACAAGAAGTAGCTTGTAACGATTCAATTAAGAGTTTAAATATATGCAAAACAAGTATAGTGACCATTAATAACAGCAGCAATTGGTTCCAACACAATCATCTTAGCATTACTAATAAATTCACATCTGTACTGTAGTGGAATTTTTTTTTATATAGACTGATAACTCTTGTCATTAGTTATTATTTAGCCACTACACACTAGAGTTTTCCTGTGAAATTCCTCTGTTGGAGAATGGCAACTTGCCACTGGCATTGCCTTTCAGAAATGGGAAATTGCCAAGACTGCCCTTCTGCAACAGAATGGCTGTTGTTCTTGCTGAATCTAAATTAACAGGACCACCCTCCCGGAAGGTGATCGACACAGTGGTGTTTGTCAAAAACCAAAAGAAAATAGTTAATAGGATACTTGACAGCTTAAGTGTTATAGGAAGAATATCTGTTATTTTAGCTTTCTTTTTATGTTTCTCTGAACAATGTAAAGTACTACAATTCCACAAATGCATGGTATGTGTCTACCGAAGTGAAATGTTACAGCTACTCATCTCCCTCCTATCACTTAGAGAATATGAGAGCACCATTTTTCATGCTCAGTTTTAGCTCTGTCCAAATTATTTATAAGCACCACTGGAGTTCACAATTTCATTTTTAGCTCTGTAAAGGAACACAAGAAATCTAATAAACCAGGCATTGGAGAGCACTTCTCATTGTGACAACTACCTTCAAGATGCTAATCAGGCATAAAGAATGAGGCTGCATTTATCTGGGAGAATGTATGATTTTCCTACTAGGCAACTATAACAAGGTAAAGGTAAAGGACCCCTGGAGGGTTAAGTCCAGTAAAAGGCGACTATGGGGTTGTGGTGCTCATTTCACTTTCATGCCGAGGGAGCCGGCGTTTGTCCCCAGACAGCTTTATGGGTCATACGGCCAGCAAGACTAAACCGCTTCTGGTGCAACGGAACACCATGATGGAAGCCAGAGCGCATGGAAACACTGTTTACCTTCTCTGCCGCAGCAGTACCTATTTATCTATTTATCTACTTGCACTGGCATGCTTTTGAACTGCTTCTGTTAAGGGTTTGGGTTAAGGGTTAAGGGCGGGAAAGGTAAGGGACCAACTGCTTGATGCGTCGAAGGTGGAAAAATGTCGCCTTGGCTGTTGTTGTAACTTGCGCCTCCATGGAAAAGGAAGCGTCATTTTGATATAAGTCGTTCCATTTTAAAGTTATGTTTTATTATGATGTGGGAGGCCCCATTAGCTAAAGTTGTGCTTCAGGTTAAGAACAGTTCAGGTTAAGAACGGACCTCCGGAACGAATTAAGTACTTAACCTGAGGTACCACTGTAGGTACTGGAAGGTCTCTTGAACCCAGACATGCTATCTAAAGGACATCAAGAAAGATCTGAAGTCCTTATCTCCAATCTCAATGCTTCAGTGCTTAACACTGATATCGGAGATAAAAGATCCCTCTAATTGCTCTCCAGATCAAGAGAAAGCACTCTGCCTGCTCTTATGGATATCACTCTCTAAAGAACAAACAGATAAGGAGATAAAATTATGAGAGCTGGTAGCACAATTCCTTTAGCAGATGGTAGATGTGTAGCCAGGGACGCGGGTGGCGCTGTGGGTAAAACCTCAGTGCCTAGGACTTGCCGATCGCATGGTCGGCGGTTCGAATCCCCGCGGCGGGGTGAGCTCCCGTTGTTTGGTCCCAGCTCCTGCCAACCTAGCAGTTTGAAAGCACCCCCGGGTGCAAGTAGATAAATAGGGACCGCTTACCAGCGGGAAGGTAAACGGCGTTCCGCGTGCTGCGCTGGCTCGCCAGATGCAGCTTGTCACGCTGGCCACGTGACCCGGAAGTGTCTGCGGACAGCGCTGGCTCCTGGCCTATAGAGTGAGATGAGCGCACAACCCTAGAGTCTGGCAAGACTGGCCCGTACGGGCAGGGGTACCTTTACCTTTACCTTTAGATGTGTAGCCATCACTTTCTATATCCTCTCGGCCCTTTTCAGATTCAGATCTTTTCAGATTCAGATCTTTTCAGATCTTAAAATCACCGAGTTAAGATAAATAAATGAATTAAGTCTTCCCAGAATTCAACTGCAACTCTTTTTTTGCATCTATTCAGAATTTGCCTTCATTCTAAAAAAACAAAACACTATTTTGAAGTAAATGTGATGTTTCTTTTCAATACATTTGTAAATGCTATTGACTCAAAAACTAAACTTATTTGTATCTATTCAGGAAAGTATCATACAGAGATTTAAAATTCCACATTTTCCTAAAACTGAATGCCTCTACTACAAGTTTCAGTGTCTTGGAGTGTGAAGTCCCTAATCTCTGCTCTCTCAAACTCACATGCATCATTTAGTACATTAGGATGACACAGTCTTCTCAATCATTTTACCACACAGCAGGCCCTAATTTCACAAACATCCTGTTTATTGCAGTTCATTACCCTTCACATGTAGAAATCTTTACTCTATAACGTTCCATGAGCTCCTGGTTCGCAAAATGTCAGAAGTGGATATTTTAGGAAATCAATCTTTCTAGGAAACCCCATTACACTTGCCTAACAACCTTAAAAATGAGGGATATTTAAGGCAATAGAAACAGTGTTTAACCTCAGGAAAAGAGCAG